TGTTTGATGATCTGAAACATTAAAGTGTGACAAACATGCAAAAAAATAAGAAATCAGGAAGGGGGCCAACACTTTTTCACACCACTGTATATATAATTTAGCATTGTTATCATTAATATTTTTGCAATGTATTATTATTTATATAATTATTATTTATATATTTGCTAAATGAAAAAAAAAACATAGCATGATGTCGTTAACATTGGTTTTTTTCTATTCTTCTCTTCACTTTTAAACTTTGACATTGGACATGATACCATAATAACACCAGTACTATTAATAATACAATATTTATACTAAGTATGTACCATGGTAACATCAAACATCTTTTGAATTCCCATGTAAATACATACATGTTATCCTTGAGTACCACGTTATATCAAGCTATGCTGTTCGTGGTTTGGCCACACTACTTTTCAGTAAGGGAAATGCTTATTATTTTGACATTTTCTATTGAGTGACTCAGGTCTGGCACGGCTTCAGAAACGCAGTGGAAAACCAGCATCCTGTTCTCCAAGAGCAAAAGGAAATTCTTTCTCTGATGGAATCTGTTATCAAAGGAAGCATACGCAGCTTTTATTGAGAGAGCCTTTCATTTATACTATCTCTGGATTCAAGGAACTCGATCAAAAAGATCTTGTACACTCATATTGTCTTAGGCACAATTAAATGATCAGTGTACATCAATGCTTTAGTCATAGAAATCTATTTTGTCATTAAGCCGAGAGCTAGAATGGGACTAACACATGTTTCGCTGCAGTGGTAATTCAATTTGAACACTAACCACTTTCACTTCTTTATCAGAAGATATTATAAACCACTCCAGGTTTTACAGAAAATTCCAAGTCTTATAAACCAGTTTTCACAATGCCAATGAGCACTGATGAAATTTCAGATACATAATAGGAGATCCAGCATGAAACGTCTATATTTAGTAAATATAGATTTCTAAATCATAATAGTCATACTAAAATAAAATGCGGCATGAAACAATATTTAATACACTTTTTTTTTCAAAGTTTTGCTTAATTGTATCAAAGAGAGTCTGGAATAAAATTATTTTTAACAAGTATAAAAAATTGAAATATGACATCACTAATTTGGTTTTTGACTCACAATCAGTCAATTTTTCAAGTCAAACCTATTCATATAGCCTAATAAAAATTACGATTTTATTTTTGATATTTAACAACAAATCCATCAGCAACAGTACTGTATAACAAACTATTAGGAATATTTCACTTAAGTCTCATGATTTACAGCTATTGACTGCAGGAACTAAATAGTCACAGACCAGCACTATTTAGTTTCTAAGCCTTTATGAAACTAGGGCAGATTATTATCACAGCAATGTAATCCTTTAAATTTGACACTGAATTAAACTCCAGCCATTTTTAATAATTGTATCACTGTCTATAGCTTGAGATCTACATTGCATGTCTGAAAATGTAATGTCATATTATTAATTATTAACCTTAAAAAATAATTCCCCTCATTAATATTTAGTATAGCATGCTTAAATGTTTAATTAGGTTCTGCCAAGTGCACAAGTAACAAATCAAACAATTAAAATGTAAAAAAAAAAAAATTTTCTTGTAGAAAACTGAAGTTTTGTTTTGACAACTTGATTCCACCTCCTGCGCACAAATCGATTCCATATGACAAAAACAAAGCTAAATCTCTTTAAACACGACACAAATCTCATCACACGCACACGCTTTTAAACAGCACTAACTGAACAATGAACTTTTTAAGGTTGCTGACTCAGTTGCTTTCGAAGCATGCACAAAAACATCACAGTAACTTTAAGAAAATCGCACATCTTACCAGTGACTCTGACTGACTGTGAAAACAATCCAACGAGTAGCAGAGTCAAAAGGCGCAACATCGCTGAGAAACTTTTGCCTAAAATAAACCCCATAACGCTCTCTTTTCTTTTCCCTTTCGTCTGAGTGTGTCAGATGAGTAAACGCATGAAGCAGAGCATGTGCGGATCAAATAGCATCTTCTTTGCTCTTTTCTCTGGGTCTTTTAACACACTGAGGAATGCGAGCGCAGCTCACTCCACTGCACGCGCTCCCACGCATGACGTCACATCAGCAGTCTGGGGATTATATGTATTTTTCTCATATTGTAAAACGTAAACATAACATAGAATATATAGGAAATGTATTTATTTTATCGGCAAAATGTTATATTCATAAATGTACATTTTCTTCAACATTACCCAAATGACATAATTTTCTTTGTGGCTTTACCTAATTAATAAAAACATTAACAACAACAACAACAAAAAAAGTGTCAAATTTGTGAAACTGTGTAATGATCTGTTGAATCATGTTACGTCATTTAAGTTACTACCTCTGTACCTTTTGTTTTACTTTTTTTATACATATCTTTTGTTGTCTCCCTGTATTATTTCTTTTATTCATACTGTCATCCAATGTTGTATTTAATTGCTGTAGTTATTCTCATTTATACCTGCAATAAAAAAAAGTTCACAAATTTCTCGCAATTATATTACCTATGATGTTTTTGTTTACTAGGCTGTTAATTGATAATTGTATAATTAATATTCTACTGTTTATTTTGAATGACTAACTGTAGAAAAATACATTTTATTGTCCACAAGTACTCCACTCGATGTGTTATTGGACAGTGTTGTTGGCATTTTAACTTTTTCCTCTAATTCCTTCATTCAGACATTATTTAGGCCTAAAAAAGTTGTCTAAACAAGATTTGTGAAGGTACTATGAAACAATACGTGAAAAAATGCTGCACCATAAAAGCGAAAATGAATGAATGAATAAATGATTAATAAATAAATAAATACCTGACTTGCCTACTAGACAGTGTCAAAAATACGACGTATAGTTTAGGAATTCAAGTACATAATAAAAAGACTACAAATATTTTACTTAAATTTTATTAGACTTCAAATAGCCTACTACATAGCAACTAAAAAAAATGACCTTCATTTGTAATGTTTTCAATACAATAGATTTGTCCACAAAGTGGCGCTATTCCATGGTATAAAACAACAGCTCAGACAATCAAACTGGAATATGTTCTTAAATTCAAACATCAGCAATAGCAACTAGTTACGTTATAACTTAGATACATAACTTAAATAAGGAAACTCTTTTCCACATTAAAAGACCTTAAACTGGCAAATTAACTTTTTTACAGCAATTTTGTAAAACAATAATCAGGTTGAATTCAGACAACAAAAGGCTAAAATGCTCTTGTAACGTGAAGAGTTTCTGAAAATGACTGATGCTTCCCAATTCACAGTAAAAGAAGATCTAGAAAGACCTAGAAGCTCTAGATCTAGACGTAGAAATTGTCACATGATGTGGCTTGCTGCTTTTAGATGCATTTCCTCACTAACAATAGCCTTTCTGGGCACCATATTCTCTCTCAAAAGTGTCTTCTGAATTCGAAGTCAATGCATTGAGAGATAAGAGTGAAAATGGGTTGCATTGTCCTCTGAAAAGCATATCAACTTACCAGATAAGACTGAACAAAGTTCAAGGGCAGAACGCCAAGAAAATAATGGAATTAAATGAGTCTGAATGTCTGTTTCCCTAGACTCTTTGTATCTGCGGTCGAGGTGTCAGATGGGGAAATCTGGACATCCACACAACAGCGCGAGGAGCTTTGGAGTTCGCATTGGAGCCGGAGCTGCTTTTGCTTCGGTTGATGTTCTCCGAGCAGTACATCTTCATTCGGTACAAGTTGGCTTTGCTCTTGCAGCAGCCCATGGAGCTCAGAAGGATGTATGCGTCCTTTCTGAAGGCCCTGGTGAAGATGGCGTAGAGGAAAGGGTTTGCGCACGAGTTGATGGGGTAGAAAAGCACAAGGAGGATCTTAGAGTTGGTCACCGTGATTAGCGGGACTTTGAAGGCCGCAGAGATGGCGAAAAATGAAATAGGCGCCATGCACAGAAAGTCGGTGAAGATCAGCACAGCCATGCGTTTGGCGATCCTGGCGTCGGCGGCGCGTCCTGGGAACTCGGGGTTGCGAACGGCAGTGTAAATGCACACGTAGCAGCCGCAAATCACCAGGAAAGCTCCAACATTGAACATCAGGAGGAGTATAACATAAGCTTGGGATAAAGGCGTCTCGATGTCCATCGGCAAACACATGCTGACTTTGTTGTAGCTGCTGACACCCATTAAGGGGAGGAGAGCCATTCCTAGACAAACCACCCATCCGACGACCATTATCGAAAAAGCGTGCCTCAATCCCAGACGGCGTTCCAGACGGAGAGCATGTGTGATCGTGTGCCAGCGCTCAATGGTAATGGTAGACAGCGTATAGATGGATAGTTCACCACCGAACACCGACAGAAACCCGGCGATCCCGCATCCTGCTCCGGTTTGCCACTCGATAGCGTGCTGACTGTAATGCCCTCGTGTCCTGAGATCCACAGTGGCGATCATAAGCAGATACACGCCGATGCAGAGGTCAGCGAAGGCCAGGTGGCACATGAGGAATTTGGGGACAGTCAGTTTGCAGCGGCTGGTGAATAACACAAGCAGCACCGTCAGGTTGCCGGCGATGGCCAGGACGTTGATGAACCAAATGGCCACCCGCAAGAAGCCGAATCCGGCGATGTCCTCGCAGGGGTTGAAAGCGTCGGACTCGGGGCTGCACTGGAGGGCCGGTCGGCGCTGACACAGGTCCAGCTCTGGGTAATAGAAGTCCATGCTGCCAAAAGTGTCCTCGGCTGATGTGGATCCAGCAATGTCTGATGCAAAAGGACCATCCAGTGTTAGAGAATCGTCAGATGCGACGTCAGACGGACTGAGAACGAACACATGGAAAAAATGGTCAGTATGGTAACATGTAACAGTAACAGTATGGTGAAAAATATTACGCTATAATTTGTAGATATACAGTATATGGGGTTATTAATGTTAAATTAAACTACACCATTGCAAAAACTTGTTCTTTACCTGAAATAAAATCAACATTAACTAACAATATTAAAAAAACTTAAGCTTATTTGATTTCAGCTAGTTGTCTGTCACACTCTGTGTCGGAGAGAAAGACGGAGACGTGGATAAGTGAAATAGTCTTTAATAAATCCAAAACAAGGGGGTAATCCACACTAGGAATGGCTGTAACACACAAACATGACGTTTGAGACCCGACAAACATAAACTGCACAGACTAGGGCTTAAATACATGGGGAAACGAGACCAATTAACACAACACACCTGAACCAAATGAACACAATCAAACAAGGGAGAAACTGGGTCTCGGGGAGCACATGGGGAGAAAAACACACAAGGCGGGTATAGGGAAGGCCGCGGTGGAGCCGGAGTGACAGAGGACCAAGGTGGAGCTGAAGAGAAGGAGGAGCCTAATGGAGCCAGAGGGACGAGGCGGAGCTGGAGGAATAGAGTCCCGAGGCGACGGATGGATGATGACAGACAAAGACGGAGCCGGAGGGACGAGGGAGCCCAGCGGCGCCAGTGGACTGACGGGCCACGGCAGAGAGGAGGGAGCTAGGAGCCATGGTGGAGCCGCTGGGTCGATGGGCCAAGGCGGAGCTCAGGGCTGAACTCGGGAACAGAGGCCCTCCCTGGGCCATACGTGGGAACCGCAGCCCTCTCTGCGCTGGACGTAAAAACAGGAGCCCTCCCTGGGCTGGACATGGAAACAGGAGCCCTCCTTGGGCTAGACTCGGGATCTGTGGCCCTCCCTGGGCCATACGTGGGAACCGCAGCCCTCTCTGGGCTGGATGTGGAAACAGGGGCCCTCTCTGGGCTTGACTCGGGATCTGAGGCCCTCCCTGGGCCGGACGCGGGAACCGCAGCCCTCTCTGGGCTGGACATGGGAACAGGAGCCCTCTCTGGGCTGGACTCAGGAAGGCAGTTCATCTCTGGACTCTGGTCAGGGGCTCGAGCCATCTCTCGACTCTGGTCAGGGGCTAGAGCCAACAGTCTTTTCCTCCTCAATCTCCTCTTTTGGGCTGAGGTTAAGGAGATTGCTGCTGTCATCATAGGGCTTAGGAGTGAATGGGCCGGCGGGCCGGACATGGGAACAGAACTGACAGAGGGCTCTGACAAAAGAGGAAGGACGGGGGGCAGGTCGGCCCATAAATCCAATTCGGGACCCCCCTCAGCGTACCACAGTCCCAGATCCACAATAAGCTCATCCTCAGCCATGGTGCAGGGGGCGGAGGTCCTCTCCGCGCTCTTGCTGTCCATGGCTCATTCCCTCGTGGCGGGAATTGTAGCCGGCTCTCGCACCTGGTCTGACATTACTTGCAGCTCCGTCTCCGCGGCAATCCTCAGCACTGTCGCTCCGTTCGGCGATGGCTCATCGGTCGCGGCAGGCTCGGGCTCTCTGTCATCGGTGGGCTCGGGCTTGAGCTCCACACAGCGGGTGATGGTGGGCTGGGCTCTGGGTCTGGCTGTGCTGTGGCACTGAACGAAACACGGAAACAAAATGGGGGGAAAACACGCCAATATTACTTTTTTGTCAGTCGGGTCTTCTGTCACACTGTGTCAGAGAGAACGACGGAGACGTGGATCAGAGAAACAGTCTTTAATAAATCCAAATCGGGGAGCACATGGGGAGAAAAACACACACAGACAGTCCATGGGTGTGACATTGCCAAGGCCAGGGAACATTTCTCATTTTCATTTTAGTAGCTCAACTTGATTACTAAAATTACTAAAACTTAATAAAAATGAATCAAAAATATATTGGCATATTAAAAAAACAAAACTAATAAAATGGTAGAAATGCATAACAAAATCACTAAAACCTTTAACTAAATTAAAAAAAGATTAAAAATATTCATACAAATTATAATACTACATCAGTGATACTAAAATATACATGTTTGTATTATAGCTTAAGAGACTTAACTGAGTTCTTGTGTAATTTTTAGAATCTTCTGAATCATGTACTAGATGTTTAATCTAAAATGATTTGACTAATAAAAATAGGAACAAATTAGTATATTTTTGATATACATCAAGAGTAAAGAGCTATAAATTCATATGGATTACAAAACTGAGATTATCTAGGCCAGTGGTTCTCAAACCTGTCCTGGAGTACCCCCAGCTCTGCACATAGATATAGGGAGACATACAAAATGTGCAGTGCTGGGGGTACTTCATGGAGAGGTTTGAGAACCACTGATCTAGGCTGTGTTTCCCAAAAACATTTGCCACCAGCTTACAATGCTTTTGAGAAACGCAGCCCTGGTCTTTGAAGAATCTGATTGAAATAAAATTTAAAATATAAAAAAAACTTAAAAACGTAATCTTATTTTATTTCAGGTCGTTGCCACGGCAACATCTAATTTTCATTTCGTTTAACTTTTAGTTTAACTAAAACTTAAATAAAAATAATAAAAACTATATAGACATTACAACTAATAAAGTCACAAAACACACAACAAAATTACTAAAACTTTAACTTTTACTAAAACTTTAACTAAAATTTATAATATTAATAAAAAAAAACCTATAGTAAATCAATTTCATATTTCATGCTAATTAGAATGCACTCATGCTTCGCTTGAACTTGAGGCAAAGTGGGAGCATGCATGACATTTTTTAAAACTCAGTATCAAATTATTAGGTCTTTTTTGCAAATCAGTAGCATTTTTCCCCAAGATGCAGGGCTGTGCAATCAGAAAACAAAACTTTAGTCTTACTTAGCTGGTGAGATGTCACCACAGTACGATGATCCATTCCCTAATGCAGTGATAACAGATCCCTCCCTATATGAGAACGAGAAAATTGATTTCAGACATAATGAAGGACACAACATGAAGGCATTGAATTATACTGATGATCCTCTGCTCTGGATTGGAACAGCGAATCATAATATAAAAAATAAATGTCAGGTGCTCTTATTGGAGCTCTGTTTGTAATCTCATTACATTAATGATTTTATGGCATTCATTGAGTGCTAGTGATGCTCTTATTCAAAATGACAATAAGATAAAATTATATTTTATTCCTCAATAATACATTGGCGTTTTGATTTGTGTGTTGACCTGTCGGAGTACCAGCTGAGCAGAACGCAGCAGTGGCTGGGATACGTGAGCTGCGCTTCTCTCAGGCTCTTCAGTCCCTTCAGTGGAGGAAGTCTCTTCAGAGCGAACGCCGAACGAGCCACCAGCATCAGCACCGACTCCAGACCACGAGAGGGCAGCGTTTCCAGTGCCGTGGATGACACATCCCTGATGGTGAACAACAGAGAGGAAAGAGTAGCCCGAAGCTTATTTCCAGCACTGAATAAAGAAAAAGACTGATTGTGACATTAGACCTTTAGAACATCTTGCAGTTTTTTTCTCAGAAATGCAAGTTTATGTCACAATCTCTCCATCCTTATATTTTCCTCGCAATTCTGACTTTTTCCTCACAATTCTGACTTTTTTCTCAGAAAAGCGCACTAATATCTTGCAATTCTGACTTTTTCCTCACAATTCTGATTTTTTTTTCTTAGAATTGCAAGTTTACATCTAGCAATTTTGACTTTTTCTTGCAATTCTGAATTAACATTTCATAATTCTGACTCTTTTCAGGATTGTGAGTTTATATCTCACAATTCTGACTTTTTTTTCATAGAAATGCACGATTATATCTCACAATTCTGAATTCATCTCACATTTCTGACATTTTTTCACAATTCTGAATTTTTTCTCCAAATTACAAATTTAAATCTCGCAATTCTTGCAAGTTTATGTCTAGCAATTCTGAGTTTATATCTCACAATTCTTTTCCTCTTAATTCTAAAATTATATCTTACAGTTCAGATTTTTTCTCACAATTCTGACTTTTTTCTCAGAAATGCAAGTTTATATCTCACAATTCTGACATTTTTTCTCACAATTCTGAGTTAGCGTAGCAATTCTGACTTTTTTTTTCTCAGAATTGCACATTTATATTTCACAATTCTGAATATATATCCAGCAATTCTGAATTTTCTCACAATTCCTTTTGCTAAAAATGCACCATTTTCAAGATGATAAACTTGAGCCATTTGCCAAATTAAACATGCACATTAAGCATGTACTCCTCCCATCATCAGTGAATGACAGACTTTCAATGTATGTGAATTTGGACACCCCCTGGGAGGTGCTCAGTCCTGCAACAAGGATGTTGATCCAGGAACATGTTGTACCTGGTGAAATCACGCTCACCGTGCTCCTACTGTAATCAATCACACCCAAACCAGCCAAGCAAGGTCTTCAGGTTTTCTTGAAAGTTAAAAGCAGGTGAGGTAAAGGTCTGGTCTAGAGTAAGGTAATGCACCATCTTCAGTCATTCACAATGACATCTGATAAGATTCAACACAAAGTGCTCAGTCCAGAGAAGAGGAATTGTGAAATGAGCTCTTCACAGTGAATTTGCAAGAGAAAAGTAAAGTCTTATTTCAGCATAATATCACTTACAGCATGGTGGGGCCAAAAGCTTCTTTGAAAGCGTCTTCATGAATCACACGCAGGTCTTTGTTATTCTTTAATACCCTGCAAAACAAACAGATTATGCTGTGATTTTACACCGATAGTGTCAGATTTACTTTGAAACTATTTTCACTCAGAAATTGCTAGTACATTTCACAAACAATATATTAAATAGTATAACAGCAGTATTATATAGTATTTTCTACAATAATCTTTTATTTACAACAAAAATATTTTTACAGTGTAAAGCACAATACTGTAGATAAATAGCATGACTAAGCAAAACTGAATGGAGATTAGTGTATCCATAATTTGTAAATATTTACAGTTTATCTATTTTAGTTCCATTGAAGGCATGGCTTTCTATTTCTTGCAATCCATTGTTAAAGAGATTCCTGAGAAGACAAAAAAAGGGGAAAAAAATAATTAGTAGATAATCCTTAGTAAAAAGTAATAAATTTAAAATATATTTTTCTTTCATACTAAGTAGTTAAAATCTGTTCCCCGAATTAGCAAATACAAAAAACGTCCAAAACAATTCAAGGGTAACAATTTAGTATATGTGCTACCGAAGCAAGCACAAGGGTAACAGATGTAATAGAGATAAACAAATGATAAAGCTTGGCTTATTGAATATTAGATCCCTTTCTACGAAAGCGCTTTTTGTAAATGATATGATTACTGATCATAAACTAGATGTGCTCTGTTTGACAGAAACTTGGCTAAAACCAGATGATTACATTACTTTAAATGAGTCTACACCAGGGCTGTCCAAACTCGGTCCTGGAGGGCCGGTGTCCTGAAGAGTTTAGCTCCACCCCTAATTAAAATTAAACACCTGAACCAGCTAATCAAGCTCTTACTAGGCATAGAAACTTCCATTCAGGTGTGTTGAGGCAAATTGGAGCTAAACTCTGCAGGACACCAGCCTTCCAGGACCGAGTTTGGACAGCCCTGGTCTACACCATTCAACAAATTCAACTCCTTGTTACAAATATGGTAGAACCGTCACTTCTACCAGAAAAGACTGCTTTGTAAATAAACTTCCTGACTTATCTCAATTCCTCAGCATATCCAATAGCTCAGAACAACTTGATGATGTAACAGAAACTATGTACTCTCTCTTTTCTAGCACTTTAGATACGGTTGCTCCTTTACGCTTAAGGAAGATTAAGGAAAACAGACCGACACTGTGGTATAATGAGCACACTCGCGCCCTAGAGAGAGCAGCCTGGAAAATGGAGCGCAGCTGGAGGAAAACAAAACTAGAGATATTTCATGTTGCATGGCGGGAAAGTACTTTCTCTTACAGAAAAGCCTTAAAAACTGCTAGATCTGATTACTTTTCATCTCTTTCAGAAGAAACAAACACAACCCCAAGTATTTATTCAATACAGTGGCTAAATTAACAAAAAAATATAACATCAGCAGGGGCAGACATTTCCCAACAGCAGAGTAGTAATGATTATATGAACTACTTTACTTCAAAGATCGATACTATTAGAGATAAAATTGTAGCCATGCAGCCGTCAGCCACAGTATCGCATTAGATAGTGCACTATAACATGTATGATTCCATCTAAGCTACTAAAAGTGGTGCTTCCAGAAGTCATAGATCCTCTTCTGACTATTCTGACTATTATGTCCTTAGGATATGTCCCTAAAACCTTCAAACTGGTTGTTATGAAGCCTCTCATTAAAAAAACACAACTTGATCCTAGAGAATTAGTTAATTACAGACCAATCTCTAATATCC